CCCGCTGCGCCCGCGCTGCCCCTCGGGCCAGGGGAGGAGGCCGCCTGCCGGCTCCCCCTGGACTGTGGCCTCGCGCTGCGGGCCCGAGCGGCGGGCGAGCGGGGGCAGACCGCGACCAGGCCCTGCCTGGGGAGGGCCACATCCCTCTCAGAGCGCTTGGCAACCGACACTGTCTTCGTGGGAACAGCGGGAACCGTGGCAAGGCCAAAGAATGGCCCCCGCGTTGGAAATCGACGTGTTCCAGCAGGGAAGAAGGCCCCGGAAAGCTGTAGCACCCAGGGAAGGGGGTCCCAGGCCATAGCTGCAGGGAAGCCCAAGAAGGGGGCGGCAGGGGAGTGCCCTGCAATGTCAGTGGGGGAAGAAAGGAAGGCAGAAGATGCAGGGTCAGGGCCCCCAGCCACAGAAGGCAGCATGGATAATCTGGAGACAGTCCAGTTGAAACTGGAGACCATGAACGCCCAGGCGGACAGAGCCTACCTGCGACTGTCGCGCAAGTTCGGGCAGTTGCGATTGCACCACCTAGAGCGCAGGAACCTCCTTATCCAGAACATCCCTGGCTTCTGGGGACAAGCGTTTCAGAACCACCCCCAGCTCTCGTCCTTTCTGAACAGCCAAGATAAAGAGGTACTCAGCTACTTGAACAGCTTGGAGGTGGAAGAACTTGGCCTCGCCAGATTGGGCTACAAAATCAAGTTCTACTTCGGCCGCAACCCCTATTTCCAAAATAAGGTGCTCATCAAGGAATATGGATGTGGACCTTCCGGTCAGGTGGTGTCTCGTTCTACTCCAATCCAGTGGCTCCCAGGGCATGATCTGCAGTCCCTAAGCCAGGGAAACCCAGAAAACAACCGTAGCTTCTTTGGGTGGTTTTCAAACCACAGCTCCATTGAATCGGACAAGATTGTAGAGATAATCAACGAGGAACTGTGGCCCAACCCCTTGCAGTACTACCTTCTGAGTGAAGGGGCTCGTGGAGAAAAAGGAAAAGAAGGCAGGCCAGGTCCAGCAAAACAACCAGGGGAGACCCCTGAGCCTGGAGTAGAGCAGTCCAACTGATTCTACCCAAGTTTCCCTACTACCTCCTGCTGGAGCTGTTTCTGGCTAACTGCATATGTGTTTGGCTATCTGCCTTCTCTTCATGTAGGCGGTTGTGCACTGTAACCTCTTCAGACTTTAGCTACAAGAATATGGTGTTTATGATCATGTTCTTTGCTTCTCATGGCCTCATTGCTTTTTTACATTAGTGTCACGTGTTATGTGATCTCAGCCCTACTGTTTATATGTTAAACACACATACTTCAGATGTGTACTGCCTTTATCTACATTGTCTGGACCCTTCTCTTGACTTCTTTTTCCTAGTTTAACATGGACAATTATGAGTCATCATCCAGGCTAACCAGTGCATCTTCAAGCTCTGCTACTTTGGGGCCAGTGACTTCCTGGGTGTCTCGTTCATGCTGGCGATGCATGTCATCTATGGCAAGCTTTTCTGTTGCTGTTGCAAATTAAAGCCAGTGCACCTGATAATGGCCATTAACCAGAATTCACTCTTCCATGGGTCTGGGGTTACCAGCCAAGGTGCTGCCTACTTTATCTCTGGTTTTGGCCTGAGACGTCCATGCTACCTGCCCTGCTGGAAATCCAGCAGAATGGCGCTCTACTGCTGGGCATGGATGAAGATAAGATGCATTATGCCATCGTTCCATACTATCATGCGTCTCTTCTTGCCACCTGCCATTTTGGTGAACTGTTACCCAGGTCTGTGCCATGCTGTCACTATCAGGTCATTGACTTTCGTGTATGTTGCTGTTGGTCCCAGTTGGCTTCCTGGTCGACAAGGACCTCAAGAACTGCCTGTGGACCCAGGCCCCTTGCCAGTGCATGAGACACACAATCTTCCCAAACCTTTCAGGAATCCTGCTGGCTGCCAGACCAATGGGCGGGATGGTATGTGTGGGCTTGTATTCACTGTCATTATGCTGTGGTTCCAGGTGAGGGTGGGGACTAGTCCCACATAGAATCTAGGGATCTTGTCATCTTCCCTTATCCCCTCCTAAAACATGACCAGATGCCATAGCAGAGGTCCTGGGGAGGACCTAGGACCCTATCTGGACCTCTGTCTACTTCTCGCACCTTCATACCACCTTACTCAACATTCTTTTCTCCATTCATCCCTCCCTCCCTTTCTTATCACCCTCTCTTTGTCCTCTGCTCTTTCCTTCTTTCTTCTTTCCCTGTTTAAATAGTACCACAGCTCAAACAGAGAGAACAAAACTGAAAAACCATTGTTTCCTACATATAGCTAGGGACACAGGAACTTTGCATACTCATATATGGGGCTGAAAGAAGGTAGGGAGAACCAAGAGGCCAAGTAGTTCTGTGGTCCAGAAGATGGAACGGGTTCCATCTTCTGGACCACAGAAGGCAGCAGTGTTTGGACTAGTGTTTAGTCTCAATCTGAGTTTTTATTATCCCCCATAAGACCCTGGTGCCTTTTGCTATTTCCTCCTCTGTGGTAGCCTTAGGCCATCTGGATCCTCAGACCCAGCTTTCCCATTCTCAGCAGTCCTTTGCCCTCTTTGCTTCTATCTTCAAATACCCATGGGAGTAGGCTTTAGTCTCCAGTATGGGAGATTCTAAAGCTCTTCCAGGGTCATGGGCATGGGGGTGGCAGAAGCTGTTCAGGATCTCCAGGTTATTTCCAGTGAGTATGAAAGCTGAACTGGGCTTTGCTTGGCCTGATTTGTCTGTCTTTGTTCCCTTTCTCCTCCCTGAGAGAGGGAAAAAGGACACTATATATGCCTGCACTCCTCCTAGCTTCATTTCCTTATGGAAGATGTCATGCTAAGTTCCATAAGGGAATTGACTCAGTTGTAGCAAGAGTGTACAGCTTTTGCCCCAAGGAAACTGGGGCAAAAACATTGAGTAGGTATGATCCTTATATGGAATAGGCAGATAGAAATTGCTTGAGAAGCTGCAGGGAGAGCATGCCTATCTCAGTGGTGGAGGAGACAGAAGTTGCCTTCTTTAAGATTAGGAAGGGACAATTAAAGAGGTTGTCTACATGAGGGTATACCTAAAGTTTTGTCCAGTCTCTATCATTAGTGAATTTTATAAATCACAGAAACAAACAGAAACCAGAATAATATTACTTTGGATGCTTTCTCTCTTGTTCTAGGTGTGGCCTTGTGTATATCCAAGATTAATGGTATATGCTGTATATTTTTTTCTCTAAGTAAAATGTTACCACATTTCCCATTTTTGCTGAATGGGAAAATATGGCTGTACAAATCTGCTTTTTATTTTATTTTATTATTTATTTTTGTCAGAGGGCATATGTGCTTGCCATAGAGATACACAGAGAGAGAGAAAGTACGGAAGGACCTCCCCACACCTTTTGCAATGGGGAATGGTTACACCACAATTTCTTCTCAGTTCTTCCTCCTGTCGGGATTTTAAACAAGCATGCACACACAGGCCCCACATGTTTTTCAAGCCACTGAGTCTGAGACTTGAACTGTATAGTCGGCCATGTGGGATCCAGTTGCCTTAACCACTATGCCATGGGTTGGTCTTTATTTGTTTTGTTTTTAAAAACTATTTTGCTTTTTATTACAGACATTTTCAGACATGTGCAGAAATGGGGAGGATGATTCCTGGACCTGGTGGGCCTATCACCTAGCCACATCAGTAATCATTTATGATCAACCTGGTTTCATCTGTATATCTCTCTTCCCACCTGTATTGTTGATCAAAAGTCCAAGACACTATGTCAGTGTAACCATGACTACTTTAGAAAGTTGGACTCTTTTGCTGGTAATAGTGGTGGGATAAACTATCATTATCACATCAAGTCTGCCTTTGCTTTTAATGTTCAGTAATGATTTTTCCAGAGCTGGGCCTTAGAAATGAAAGTTACCAGAATTAACAAGGAGATGCTTCCTTCCTCTTGCATCCACAAAAGGAGAGGGAGACTGTTCTTTTGTAAATCTCTTTCAAAGACTCTGATGTGATAAGATACTTAATTGAGATCCTTCACCAGAAGGGTCTTTTTCATTTTGTAACATGGAGACTTGTATGACTTTAGGATTATTATCAGTTTGTCTGGATCTTATAATTATAACGCTGGTCTTAGAAGTATAATTTGGAAGCTGTTGTTGTGTTCTGTGAAAATAACCTCCCAAAGTAATCAGTAACTGGTTGTCGTACTTGATAATTTGACACCCTGGTAATAATGCAATTATTTCTGTGTTCCTAAACAGTATTAATAGTTGTAAGCTTTACATGCATGATGGAAAAATAAAAATCTGTATCTCTGTTAAATTTCTTATTTTCAAAAAAGAATTGGAAAGTTGTTAAGCAGAGCTGGGCAGATGTGCGGATATATACAAGGGTACATCAAAGTTTGTGGAAAAATGAAATTACGAGTTTATTTTGGTAGAAAAAATTTTGAAACCCATGCATACTTTTCCCATAATATACTTTCTCCATTAACTTTATAAATACCCCCTCATATACTGGCCTAGATAAGTTATTCCCAACCCTTGGGACTTGCTACATGAAATAAATAAAAGTCTGGGTCCCAGGCCTTTCCAAGATTGAGATTCTGTGGTGCTGAGAAGGAAGCCAGGTAGTTTTATTTTTAAAAAGTTTTCCAGGTGAATCAATGGGAATTCAGTGCATCTTGAACTTTAGAGTGCATATGAAATGTGTGGGGGAATCCTGTTAAAATATGGATTCTGATTTAGTAGTCTGGGATGTAATCTGAGATTCTGCATTTCTAACAAGCTTCCTGTGCTGGTGGCTTGTGAGCCACACTTTTGTGTGAGTCCCAAAGGAGATGACCTTGAAGGCCCTTTCAAACTAGAGCGATGATGCTTAACCTTGGTTGCACATTAGAATTGTCTGGGAATCTCAAATATCCTGCCAGACCTCTACACAAAGACTGTATCGGAATAGGGGAAGGGAGTGGTCCAGACCAGGATATTTTAAAACTTCTCAGGTGATTCTCATGCCTAGCTGGAGTTGAGAACTTGATTTTCAGATGCTGTCCACTTCCGATCCATAACAAGGATCATTTTCCATTAATCAAGAGTAGCAGTAGCAGACAACCAAATGCCATATAAAGCTGCTCAGCAGAAAATGGTTAGGAAAAATTAGAGGTGGATTGTTAACTGATGAGAAAATAAAATTGTCTTTTATGATAAGGGGCTTGAATAAATAAATCTATAGAATTCAGGGCATCGTGAGTGCTCCAATGTTGAATGAATGCATAAATTTAAAGCATGGTTTATTTTCATATGCCTCAGTGCTAGGTTGGTAATTAAGTTGTGACATAGCTAAGTTTATTTTATGAGGACATCTGTGTTAGCTTGCTGGGTCTGCCATGAAAAAGTATCACAGGGACCAGCAGATGGTGTGATGGTTACATCACTGCACTCCAATGTAGTTGACTGTGGTTCAAGTCAACTGTGGCTTAAAACTCAAGTCGGGCGTGTGTGCTTGTGTGCCCAGAATCCCAAGAGGAGAATGGAGGAAAAGGGATTGAGGTGTGGCCATTCCCTGGGGGTGGGGAGTGGGTGGGCGCGGTGATTTCTTCCTTTCTGTCTCTGTCTCTTTCTGTCTTTCCGGCAAGCATACATGCCTAATAGCAAATATCTCTAGGAAAAAAAACAAGCATCATAGACTAGGTGGCTTAAATAACAAATTTATTTCCTCAGTTCTGGAGGACAGAAATCCAAGATCAAGGAATCACCAAGTTGGTTTCTTCTGAGGGCCCCTTTCCTTGGCTTATGGGTAACTTCTCTTTATGTCTTCACATGGTCTTTCCACTGTGTCATATTCTCTCTCTCTCTTTTTTTAGTTTTTTTTTTTTTTTGCCCTAGGGCGTATGTGTTCACCAGAGAGAGACAGAGAAAGAGGGAAAGTGAGAAATCACCACATAGGGGTTGGTGACAATGCCACAAATCCCTTCTCCTCTTCGGATTTTGGGCACACAGGCACACATGCCCAGCATGATTTTCAGGCTGCCATGTTTGGAATTCAAACTGTGATCACCATTTGGGAATCCAGCACCTTAACTACCATTCCACCTGCTGGCCCCCTAATCTTGTTTTTAAAGGACACCAGTCATATTGCATTGGGGCCCACTTCAGTTACCTCATTTAACTTAAATTACCTTTAAAGATCCTGGCTTCAAATACAGTTAGAGTCTGTTATAACTAGGGGACTAGGAATTCAATGTAAAGGTTCTGAGGGAGACACAATTCAGCCCGTAACACCATCTTAACTTGTCTTCTTTTGATACTGTGTATTTTGCATGGTATGATAAGTTAATTTTATTGATGCTTACAGTGTACCAGGCAGTGTTGTAGGTGCTCTACAAGGATTAATTTATTGAATCTCTACCACAGTCCTATGAAGTAGGTGATAATTATCCCAAGTGAGGGGGTTAGATCAGGAAATGGGATAAAAAGAGATAAAGTAGATTGTTCAGGTTCATGCTGGTAATATCAGAGCCAGACTTGAGACTCAGTCTGGTTCAAGAATGCACACATATATACCTCTTGGCTGGAAACATAGGAGTAGTCTTCAATTACCAAAAGAAATATGTTGTCACCCACTTTCCAGTATTTTTAGAGACTCACTTTGATTTAAGAGGTAGTTACTGCTATAGGAATAATAACTCAGACCTGATGCTCAGAGGACCAATCCAATTTGTCCTCACTTCTTGATTGCATTCCTCGGTGGAAAAACATGGCGTCTTGAATAAATGAGCAGCTCTGCAGCTTTGGCTTACTGTTTACCTGGGGCTGTCTCTTCAAGGAGAAGTAGGGAATACAAGTCTTTATGTAGAGGATCTTAATTTTGAATGTTTTTAATCAGATAAAAAACACCCAGTTTTTCCTTTTAGCTCTTATGTAGAGTGTAAAAGGGCATGGAGAGCAGACTGTTCTTCAGGCCTGAATATCTTGTTAGGATTCATATGGACCTCTCCCAGGTTATGAATTGGGAGGGGCTTTCTACCCAGTTCAGCTTGGCAGTTGCTTAACAGGTGCAGAAACTCTGTTTTCGAGCCCCCACTTTCAAATACATCTCTTCAGTGCTTTGGAGAACCTATTGAGTCTGGGGTTCACTACCTCCCCATGGGCATATTCATTTATTGCCAGCTTTATGTACAGTCTCTATTGTAGACATTGGGATTTAGCTATGAACAAATACATCTTTAATTCTGGCCCCTCTCCTAAATTTCAACACTTCTCAGCTTTTGCCTGGGATTGTCAGTCGATCTGTTTCTTCTCCCCCTTTTTTCTGCAAAGGGCTGGTGGGTGCTTTAGATCCATGGGATTTGATGTAGGGCTAAAGGAAGTCTCTGTCACCCTTGGCCTTGAGGTCAGACTTCACAAGGTGCTCAGGACTTTCATGACCTGCAAAGCGAAGGCCCCTTGGGACCTTTCCAGTTACAGCAAGAGTTCCTGGCTCTTTTTTCAGCTTTGAGTTTTATTACGAAAGGGCCTCTTTTGATTTCTGAGCTTGTTACCTGCTGGGCTTTTTTGGAAGTTTGGTGGGTTTGTGCAAAGCCATAGGTGAAGGAGGAAAGGAAAAGAAATGGTCCTGTCACCCTTAGCTTACCCAAATCCTCTGTTAACTTCTCTCTGTTCCACTTTGGGCTTTTCCCCTGTAGTCTGTTGTAATAATTTGCACCAGACAACAGAGACTCACTGCCCTAAGGAGTCATCTTAGAATCACTCAGGAGGGAATTTAGGCAAGTTCTTGGCTCCTCTGAAGATTTAGAAAAGTTCTTCTACCCTCTTACCCCTTGAGATCCTTGACCTTAGTGAACCACTATTGCTAATGGGTAGGGTCTTATTTCTGGGCAGCAAAAAGTAAGAGTCCCAGCTACCTGGTCTCTCTTTGCCCTTTACATTTTCACTTCTGCTTTGGGAACCTTCTCAAACTGTATTTCACTGTCCAGGCTCACAACTCACTGTGCCAAGCCATTTTCACCTAAAACCCTGACCTTGTGTTCTGTTTCTTTACCCTAGATCAGCACCCTATGGTCAGGTGTCTAGGTACTGGCTATCCAGGGCTCAAGCCTTGAATTTTCTTTCTCTTCCTTTTATCTGCCTAGTCCTCAGCTGAAGTTTGACAATTATAAGACAAAATAACTACTGTTTGGGGTCAGCAGGTAGAGCGGCGGTTAAGGTCACTGGATCCCATATAGCCGACTGCATGGTTCAAGTACTAAACCCAGCAGCTTGAAAATCATGCCAGGTATCTGTGTGTGTGTGTGTGTGTGTGTGTGTGTGTGTGTGTCCAAAATCTAGAAAGGATGGGGGAGATGGACTGTCTCATGGTTGTTCCCTTGGGGGATAATTTCTCACTTTCTCTCTCTCTTTTTCTGTCTCTGGTGAGCACACATGCCCTATAGCAAAAACAATTTAAAAAAAGAACTTACTGTCTATGTGACACTTTATGGATTACAAAGTGTATTCACTTACGTTATCTCAATTATAACAATATGTCATAAGAAGGCTCAAAGGACTTAAATGACTTGTCTAAAATCACAAAACCAGTAAATAGTCAAAACTCAGCCTCAGGTCTTCTGATTCCAGACTCTGTCCATCCTTGGGATGGTAAACATGTGGTCCAGGGCAGATAGCTGGCATTATGAGTCCAGGAACTCTTTTCCACAGAACTGGTGTTTAACTCTGCAGAGCACCTTAACCAGTTACTCTGAGCTGTCATAGGAGTGTGTACCTTCTTTACCATGGCAGACTGCAGCATGCACGCTGTCGGAGTACCATTAGCAGCGGGGCTGACATGACGCATAGTGGTGGGTGAGGCTTTCTTCAAGTACATGATTCTAAGGTTAGGATTGTTTCTAGACATAGTATGCCTGCAGGTAGGGGCTGAGTGAGTGAGGGTTCTGGCCATAGTATCAGTAGCTGTACATGAATTGGACAAAGGAGGATCTTTGCTTACATAACAAGTCTGGTGGTAGGGGGTTACAGACTTGCTTCAACAAACCCTGTTAGGGCTCTGGATCTACCTCAGCTTCTGTTCTTTTGACTCTTTCCTCACTCCTGAGCTCCAAAACCATATCTTCTCCAAGCCACACTTAAGAGAAGGAATGAAGGCGGAAGAAAAAATCTTTGCCAATAGTGCTTGGTGATTTCAGGAGGCCTACGTAGGCCCCTTGAGCCAGAATGAGTCACACTCCCTCACCCAACTTCTAGGAAATCTAGTACTTTGCAGTATCTCTCATGAGAGTGGGGTTCTGCCATCAAGGGATAAGGAGAGATTGTGCGGC